CTCTGGCTTGGTTCTGCTCCGGTCCGGTTCGGTTCTGGCGGCACTTCAAAGCATCAGAGCGTCTCCTCCAGGTGAACAAAGCGATTACACAGAGGTGGACAGTCCTTCGTTAAAAGTAACGTGCTGCTCACTGAAGCCAAAACCGGCTCTATTAAAGACGAAGTCCCCCACAGCCAACTTGGTTTGGTTCTGGTCCAGTTCGGGGGACACGGGTACACTTCCCCCCACTCCAATGAAGACACCACGAGGGCCAGTCCAGCAGAAAACCAGCAAAATACCAACTGGCGATTCTTGTCCGAACCAGGTAGAACCACAAAGGTCCAGACGAGAAGTTTGTTGGGGTCCAGAGAGAGAGAGAAAAAACACCGGACCTTCATGCGACGACTCCCCAGCTCGAGGGGTCACCTGGCCGGCAGGGTGCACTCAGAGTGACCGGTGGGGTGGGAGCGGCCGGTCCTGGACCAAAATATATTTTTGGACGGTCCCGTCCAGCTCTCCGAGTCACTGAACTCCGAATTCGGGTGGAAGGGGGACCAACTTTAGTCCGGTTCAAAAAACGGGTCAGTTTGATGATGAAAGACTGCAGAGAAGCTGGAGGGAGCTGCCGTCCATCAGCTCACCGGAAGTGAACTTTTGATGTTTGTTCTTACGGATCGTTGTTGTATTGAGGGTTTTGGGTCAACGGATAAAAATAAGCCATTGTGGTAACTCCGGCGCTTTTATATTCTATGAAAATATTGTGTGCACTGTCGTTTTAGAGAAATAAATTAAAGGAAAACGTATACAACAGTAAGACATAGTCTGAAGTGCTTCACAGCAGAAACGGGTTTAAACGGGTCCCAAAGTTGGACTTTGTGTGAGCTGCATCTTTACCTTTTGACTCGTCTCAACCTTTTCTTGAAACTTCCTGCATCTGTGTTCTTTCACCGTGTCTTTCACTCTTACAAGAATTTTCTGTCAAAACTCCTCAGCGAGCCGAGATCATACATCCAAACCTTTACTGACTTCCATTATTTCAGTTTTGACGCTTCTCTTCCAATCTAGAAATAAAATTGTCACGTCTCCTATAAAAAGTACCGTAGACACATGAAACATGCTGCTGTTTACAGCCCAGGATTTTTTATAACTTAGTTCTGCAGTGATTTACTGTCCCAGAATTCATTTCTACTGAGAAGTTATGTCTTCCTGAATTATTAGCAGGGCGGTCAGGGAGTGAGACACAAGTGTGTGGTTACCATGGTGACCTGACTGAGCCACTGACAGCAGTGGCCATTATATTATATAAATATTATATTTATACATTATATTTATGATGCTCATAGCTCTCTTTACTTTTCTAATGCAGTTTAAACAACAAAACGTCAGCTGTTATCAGCTTAAAGCATTACATGTGTTGGTCCTTTCAGCAGCACCTGCACTGGCAACTTTCAAATCTTCAAAAATGTTCTTGTTTTAGAAGAACTTGTCCAAATTAGGTCCAACTTTTACATTTCATTCTTCCTGTGAACCAGCAGAGGGTAGAAACAAGCTGCGTTAAAGTTTGGAGTCAGCCAGGAGTTTATAAAAGATTTAACCACCGAGATGTGTTAAAACTAGACACAACTTGAAGCTGAATCCACTACACAGGAGCGCCCCCTATAGGCTGGCTGCAGAAACTATTTTAAGCCACGCCTCTTCATGCAAGTTAACGATATTTGCCTCACCAGAACATAAAAACATTTTTTCCAACTCTTAATTTGTTGCTTTTTGATCAAATGCGCATTTATAAAGTGTCATTTGTGCATTCGAGGCTTTAAGAAAAACCACGTGACGCGTTATTGACAGGAACACGGTGGAACAAAACTATCTGCATTCACGGAGCTGAACGGGATGACATGATGGACTTCAGTGAAGACTTTAAAAAACTGAGCCAGCTCTCCTCAACGCCTTCTTGAGGAATACAACAATGACATCGCTCTTTTGGTCCCAAGCCTCCATAATGCTCCAGTCTTAGATCAGTAGAAATTTACTTCCTTGAGTTGGAGATAAAATTAACAAAAACTTGTGCTTCGGTCCATCTGGAACAAAAAAGACGTTTAGTAGAACAGGAGATGTGTTTTCTTTGCAACGCACTGGTAAAGAGAAAAGCTTACGCCCCCGTTCAAAGGGTGATAAAACAAAAAATATATTGTTTCCAGACACTTCACCCGGCACGGCTGCGTGTCCACCTTAGCACCGGCCCGGTCATCTACCATGAGGCAACCGCAGACCTGAAAGAAAGAAGTGATCAACGCAGGAACCTGCGACACGGCCAACCAGGAAAGGGACGACACATCCGGTGTGGAACACTGCAGGTGCATCGCGTCGCAACAGAGAGATGAGGTTGAAACGCATTCAAGAAAAAGTCAAGGATTTCAAGCACGAGAGCGCAATCGGTCTCAAAACCCTCTCGCCATAGCCTCCAGTGAGACTCCAGTTTAATAAGAACATACGGCCTTTCCTCATTTAGATTACCGTGATTTCCGGCGTACACGTTGCTCCGCCCTATAAGTCGCATCAGTCCAAAAAATTTCTAATAAAGTGGAAAAATCCATAAATTCATTGCTTCACCGTGTAAGTTGCATCTATTACGAGTCACCGTTGACAACCCGGAAACATGGGCCGGTGTTGTGCCAAAAATCGACTGGCTGCCAAATGGTGGCCACGGGAGCGTGCACGGGAGGACTTTAACAACAATTTAACAAGATTAACACTTAAAAACAATTATTCATTTGCTCGAAATTATAATAAAGGTGTGTCTCAGTCTAACTTTTGCTTAATAGATGCACTTTAACAGTCAAACCAGCTGCATTTCTCCGGGGCGGTGCAGCAAAATGAAGCTGATTTGATGGTTGCTCCAGGCAGATGATGGTGGCAGGCTATGGCAAGCCGACTGTGTCATTAATAGCCACTTTTACCCATTTCATGACACAACGGCATACCATACTACTCGAGTTCCATGCAGCGGCTGAAAATTGCAGTGTTCAATATTTTCAGTCAGAACGAATGAAAACGGTCATATCTCAGCCAAAAATTGGTTCAAAAATATGAGGAGCAATCCATAAATAAGTGGCGTCGGTATAGAAGTCGCAGGGTGCAAATTATGCAACAAAAAAAAAAAAAATAAGCTACTGTAAATTTGGTAGTAATCGCAGCCCGTTTGCTGGGAAACTCTGCTTGCTCTCTACGTTTACGCACATTGCTCTGGTTGAAATAACTCAGATCTAGTCCTGAACTGAGAGGCCCCCTTTGAGTTAAAGGGACTCCCTCTCAACTTAAGAGAAATTGGAATTTCACTTCACAAAACGGAGTTCATCTTTGTTGCGGTATGTTCATGATGAGCCACCATGCCGCCCTCGATTAAGACTTTTGGTTCAATATGTACGGAGACATTTGTCGTGTCGACATGTGGAGGGACTGGAATATTAGCTTACAGCCATCATTGGACTCCAACAGTTACTCGCACAATTATTGTTCATGCTCAGCTTGGACAGAGGATAACCCAGGAGTCAGATGTCTCTGATCATGCTGGGGTCCATTTGATTTTACATTTGGACATTAAACAAAAAGAGACTCAACTCTAGTTTTCTTATCGAGACTCGGCTCTTAGAACTTAAAAATCACATGTTCCACGATGACGATGGAGATGTTTCACCAAGTGTGTTATAGGATGCTGCCAAGGCAAATTCATAAAATAAAATAAAAACACAGACCAATAAGAAGCAACACAACGTGGAGGATATACAACAATCCTTTGTGGCTTACTGTTCCAATCTATACCCAGCCCCCAGCAGCAGATTAACAACTGGAGACAACTTCCTGGCTTCCCTAGATCTGCTTTATATAGATCAAAATAAAACACTTAATAGAAAACAGAGGAAGAAATCAGTAAAACAGTATCAAACCTGAAGGGCAATAAAATGCCATGGCTTTCCATCTGAATGGTACACGCGCTTCACGTTCTGGGGGCGGAGCACTTCCACCATCTTGGAAACAGCCCAATCTCCATAATACCAAAGATAAAGATGGGCACGTCTAGATGTAGTTCATATCTGTATTAAATATAGACTATATATTTGTGACATTATTGGCTAAACGACTAGAAAACATAATCCCTGAATTGGTAAATACCAACCAGACAGGATTTGTAAGGAACAAACGCATGATGATGTGCGCTGGGCATTTCATCTCATTAACCATAGCAGAACTGAGAAATCAGTTGTTCGTAGCTTTGCTGTGAAAAGGATTTGATGCCATCAGGTGGGAGATTTTAGATCAATTAACTGGACTGCATTTATATTTGGTTTTAAAACACTTTGGGTTGAATAGTCCGGTGTGTTAGCTCACTGTATAATTCACCCATGGATAAACGTTAACGGGGATCTATCCCATGTGATCTCTCTTAAACGCAGGTAGCCTGTTTTATTCCCTGGTGAAATGAAGCTGATTTGACCATTGAAGTGCATTTATTAAGCAAAAGTTCAACCGAGACACACCTTTACTATAATTTCGAGCAAACAAATAACTCCAAAGTAAGAACCCTGAACATGGTAAATGTTGGAGGAATTGTGGGTATACATCAGCAGGCCACTCCCACATTTTTTGGGGATAGTTTTAAGAGTTCCCCCTAAAGGACAGATGTGGTTAAAACTATTCAACAAACGACTGGGCTGCAGCTGGAGGAGAGCTTCAGTGCAGATTATTTAGGCAACATTCCAACTGGAGTGAAGAAACAAGGCAAGATACCTGTTACAAACATTACAGGTGACCAGTAAAAGGTAATAACAGGAATATTGTTAAATGAGAATCTACTAACCGTTTCAGAATGGATGGACATAACACAGACTTTATGTTATGGAGCGACTTTTCATTAGAAAAATTTAAATATTGGGAAAAATGGAAATGTTTTCTTTCCCAACAACAAGGATGGACTGGGCCATGAAACAGAAATGTTGGCTGAGGGTCGGCTCGACTCTACTCACAGTGAAGTCCCTGAAGACCAAGTTTCGAGAACCTCTGCGTAGGGCCATGAGAGCTGCGCTCGGATGATTGACGATTGCTTTTGGTGCTCGTTGTGCCGGAGTGCTGCCCGTCGCTGGTGGAGTCCTGCACAACATGGCACACAAACAAACGCTGAAACGTTTCCGTGCGCAGTACTTTCTAATTAAAGCAGCCTCTAAAATCTGTTTGAGTCAGTAGGAGAGAGGTGCACGCACTGGGAAGAAGTCTGATTGGGGTTTTGTGCCTGCTCCTCTAGTTTGAGTCCAGCCAGTAAAGCCTCTCGAGAACAGTGCTTATCCTGGGAAAGCAGAGCGGAAACAAATTGGACTAACCCCGAGGAGTACTTTGTTGGACTTTAACGTCAGGACAGTAATGAGTCGTTACCTGCAGATGTGTGATGAAGGACAGTCTCTGTCGGGGGAACGGTTCACAGCCCTCCCACTGACAGTGCCCGCCGTACACATCCTTCCCGCCGTGTTGCGTCGCTGCGTGGTAAAAGACTTGAGACGGCGTTTCGAACCACCTGAAAAACACAAAGAAATCAGCAGACGCTCAGACGGGACGTTCCCCGGCAGCTGGAGAGGCCCGTACCGTTTACAGGACTGCCACAGACACTTGAAGTTCTGCCCAGCTTTCCTGCTCGGCTCCGAAGGTGTCGCGGGGGTCTGCTGTGCTGGGAGGTGGGGGTGGTGGTGACCCGTCGGAGCAGGCTGGGAGACGGGTGGTGGGGACGGGGTTACAGCGGGCTGCAAAGGAGACAGAAAGTGATGGTTAAACAGGATTCTGCCGCAGCCTGGTCAGAACCATGTGTGCTGAGGTGTAACCCGGGCCCGACTGCTGGCGGGGGTTGTTCTCTCAGCTGGTCTCCTCTAGGAGGTGGGTATCAGTGAGAGCCACATGGTGTGAAGTGGCCTCACCTTCTTAACCTCCAAAACAACCACACTACAAACACCACAGAGCTGTGGCAGAACCGTATTCACCATCTCAGAGACGCCAGTCGGACTGCAGGCTGAGCTGAAGACTGCAGGACGAGACCCTGAAGCTGGGTTCACACTTCACCCGTTCTGTTCTCACATCAGAAGTGGAGCTTTACATACTTTTTCAGGTCCATCTCTTAAAAATATTCAGTTGTTTGCCCACGACTCACGTCACCCATGCTTCACCAACACATCCATGTTGCTTCGGTAAACGAAGCGCTGCTAACATTCATGGAATAAAGAACCTCTTTGGAAACACAGACAGGTTTTATTGACCTTTAACCTTTATTTCTCTCAGCCATGACCCTTCACTTCCACGTGCTGCATGTGCAAGATATTAGACTGGCACATGCTAAGTAAATCATTACATTTGTAACTAGTGACACATTTTGTACTAGAACTACAGAAAAGACCGGACCCTGCCTGGAAGAGTTCTGCCCCAGGCAGGGTTATTGAACTAAACTGCTCAGGAGCCGGACGTCCAGCAGTTATTGTCATCAAGTTTGTTTAATGGTTTAAAATCTAGTTTTATTTAAAAATGAACCCATTGGTGGACCGAACAGAGCTCACCCGTGGGCCTGATTTGGCCCCCGGGGCTCCAGTTGAATAGATTTAGGGTGATGCTTTAGTTATTCTTGGCTTTAATCGTCTACTGCAGCAATAACATCCGACACGCACTGATCGTCGTCTTCTGAGCTCAGATTTGAGATTTTTGTAAAGTTCACACCTCTAGCCCTCCTGCTGTCCTTGGGTCAAAATGAACCCCGAAGCCTCCGGGTTCATTTTGTAATTTCGTTTGCTCTAATCTAAAGCCATGTTTACACGACAACGACTCAATGAAAACGGACATTTTCCCAGGTCTATTAACACATTTACATGAAAACGTTCCATTTACAATGTGTTTACGCAGCAACAGTAGACGTGGAAAAGGTGCAATTCCCTCGCCACGCCACTAGTTGGTGCTATGCTCACTGAAACTCTTAAGTGCGCATGCGTAAAGAAAAAAGTTCTTCCTGAAAGCTGCTACAACGGTGGAGATGGCCGAGAATAAAATATTTCTATGGACAGACGACGAGGTTCAACTGTTGCTTAGGGCGACTTTAATTATAAAACCAGCAAATTTCAAGAGAACATTGACTGGGAATCGTGCCAGTCCATTGTCCACAGTTTCTTCTTCTGTGGATTGTAGGAATCCGTCATGTTTTGCGTCATATGAGCAAGGCATTCCCTGACAGAAAATATCTATTTTTTCTGTTTACACGACACCGGGACGTTTTGAACCATTGCACTTTGGAACCTGTTCTCAAACTGTGCCGGTGTCAGAAAAAAAACATTTATTTTCATGTAAATGAACAAAACAAACGCAACGAAACTCTTCCATTTCCACCAAAAATAGTTTTCGTGTAAAAAGGGCCTTAAATATAAAATGTGCTAATAATTTTTTATATTTAAGCCTTTACTGTTGTTTATTTTATATTTATTCCCCCATTATTAAACCTTTTGTTGCGCATTTTAAAATCTAAACGTCCTTTTATTTTTATCATAAGGTGAACATATTTCTACGAACTTTGTTATAAAATGCACCGCAGAATGTCACACTTGTTTATGAACATTAAATAAATACTACAGATGTGTTTTCTATTAAAACAGTTCATCTTCTTGATAATTCTGACGTGGACTTTGTTCATCATACGGGGTCAAATCGAAACACGGCTCAGATCGAGACCGCCGAGTAAAAAAACACAACGTCACAAAAACGTGTCACATACTTTAAAGACTTATATTTTAATTACATACGATTAATAAATAATAAATATTTGTAATACTTTTACAACAAATGCAGCTAATAATATATGGCTGTGATGTTTGTCAGTATCAAATATAATTTTAATTCTGATATACAAAAACACAGATTGTGTTGAAAGTTAATCTGCTTGAGTATTTTATGTACAATAAACTGAATTTTAATCTGTTCCGTTTATGTTCTGCTTACAATTTAACTCTTTATTTAATCAAGTATTTAAAATAAACTTCATCAAAGAGCTTCCAAGCCATTTTAAAAGATGACTTCTTAACATTTTTAAACAAATATGGCAGACCAAAACTAAATATTACACACCAGATCTGTTTTCAGTATTGAAGTAAATGAGTGTATTACTCTGAATAATACTACATCTTTGCTGTTCTTCATAAAGTAATGTGAGCCTGACGGCGTCGTGCTAACAGGCTCATTAACCTAGCTTTAGCGAAGCTACATCAGGTTATATTTAAACACGCCAACTCTCCAACTCTTTAGTTTTTAATAAATAGTTGTTTGCACTCTGCAGCTCTGTGATTGTCGATATGCCGTATCTTTCGCCGTATAAGTTGCACCTTTTTGCATAAATTGGCAAGTCCTGTGACTTATACCCTGAAGCGATTAATATACATTTTTCCATACATTAAACAATTTTTGGCTGAGATCTGACGAGTTCATTCATTCCGACATGGAAAATATTGAACACTACCATTTTCAGCCACTAGAGGGCGCTCGACTAATATGGTAATCCAAGTGTCTCATTAATAAGTAAAAGTGGCTATTAATGAGACACTTGGCTTGCCATAGAGGCCACCTTCGTCTAGCTCCATAACTAATTAGCTCCATAACTCCTGGAGCAAAATGTCAAATCAGCTGCGTTTCACCGCGCCGCCCAGGAGAAATGCAGCTGATTTGACCATTAAAGTGCATTTATTAAAGAATTACTATTATTACTATAATGTCAAGCAAACAAATAATTGTTTTTAGGTGGTTATCTTGTTAAATTTCGAAGAAATGCACAGCAAGTCCTCCCTTTTTTGGCACAACACCGGCCCGCATCTCTGGGTTGTCACCGGTGATGCATAATAGATGCGATTTATATGATGTATACATGTATGGCAGCAGGTACAGTATTTGTCCAGTCGCCCCACCCCACATAGCAACGCTCACACCAAACCTGTTAGCAAAGGTTAGCGAGCGGTTTTCACTGAACCTGATCCGCTCGTCAAGCTCAAAACTGGCCAGCTCTGGCCATCTTTAGAAGAACTGTTGTGTCTAGTTGCCAGTTGATGCAAAAATATATATAAAAAGATAAAATCAAAACTAAACATGAAGAGAAAACTCCTTCATTCCCGTTCAGAGAACAGTTAGAGATTCTAGTGTTTATGCAACATTTCATGGCAGAGCAGGTTTTAAACTGAAGCAGGTCTCTTGTAAATGAGTCAAGGCTCAGTGGGAACTAACCTGTATAAATAAAGGTTGAATGAATAACCAGCAGAAAATAGTGGTTTAACAAAGAGCCGAACCCCCCCCCGTGACTCACCGTGGCGCCGGCTGCCTGCGTGGGCGAGTAGTTCCTCTGCTGAGTGGCGTTCTCTATTGCTACTTTGGCTACTGTGCTTGGGTCGGTTCCCGCGGGCACTGCCACCATGGTGGAGCTGCTGCCGGCGTTGTTGGGGTCGCTGATGGTAATGATCCGCACTCCCACTTTGTTGGGGATCCCCGAGGGTGCTGCTGTGCTGCGGTCTTCGTTTTCAGCTGGCCTTTTGAGGCCTCGGGCCTCTGGGACCACTCCGTTTGCGGGCGAGGCCACGGGGCTCTGGGAGGTAATGGCGGAGGGGAGTGAGGAGTTGGGAAGCAGTTGCTGCCTTAGCACAGGCGAGGCGTGGCCCAGCCCCAAAGGTCCATTGGTTAATTCTGAGGGAGGCCTGTGACATACAGGCTGGGGGCCGTTAGCCAGGCGCTCAACCTGCTGGGCTTTGGCAGTGTCCTGCTGAGGAGGAGGACTGGGGAGACACGGGTCTGGGCTCCTTTCAGAGGAGCCCACTTCCCCATTCCCCAAGTGTTGTTTGGAAGCAATGTGATTTGGAATGTTCTTGGTGAAGTTCCCCCCGCCCTCTCCCCGCTCAAAGTCACACACCCCGTTGACCAGAGTCTTTTTGGGGTCGGGGCCCTCAGGAAGCGTGCTCAGGCCCGGGGAGAGGGCCTGCTTCCCGTTAGCCGCAGGACTCTCCAGAACCGGGCCGTTGGGTACTCCCTGGCTGTTCCCTGAGTGGTACGGAGGTAGATTAGACTCCATGCATTTCTGGCCGTTTAGCAGCTTGGCACCTGCCGCAACATCCCCATTACTAGTTTTTCCATTGGGGGAGTCTCCCTCCGCCACGGAGGAGTTCTCCATCACCTCGATCTTCCTCTCGTGGATGTGCAGCCCCGTGGTGTCCTTGGCCTCTTCCTCCTTTTGACAAATGATCTTGTCTCCTCTAAGAGGAGCTGGCAGTGGTGGTGGAGGTGGTGGACCTGCAGGGATGTGATGGGGGGCTGTTCCAGTGGAAAATAAAGGTGGGGGAACAGGTGGAGCGACGACCCCTGTGCTGATGGCAGCGACGGCAGCAGTGGAGGTGGTGAAGCCAGTGTTGGGGACCACGGTGAACGTGACCTGTCCTGCTGCTGTGGGACCCTGAATGATGGCGGTCGCCCCTGGACTGCTTGTGGAAATGAGCTGTCCTGGCAGCAGCTGAACCGTCTGCAGGGGGGGCGAACTGACAGCAGGAAGCTGACCTGGGAGCAGCTGGACGCTGAGCTGCTGAGGCTGGGGAGGAGGATTCTGGCTGCTGTAGCCTGCCTGATAGATGACCTGTGGGCTGGGGGTTATCATGTTGTTGGGAGGGGGCACCTGTGGAGCAGGTAAGATCAACTTTCCTCCTGGTGTAGACGGCCCCCGCTTTGGAAGCAGTAGCTGCTTGATCAAGCTGGACTCGGTGGAGGTAGGCTGAAGTGGAGGAGTCTGTGGTAGAACTTGGAGAGGCTGCTGTTGGTGCTGCTGATGCCGTTTTGTGGACAGAGCATGGCTGACCGTTTGACTTGACTGGACCTGGGTGTTGGAATGAGCGGGAGGCGGGCAGGGAGCGGCAGCAGCTCCAGGCTGCCCAGCTACCTGGACAGTCTGAGCGCCAGTGATGGTGGAGGGGTTGGCGAGAACAATCTGGTGTATGGCAGGGGGGTAGGCTGTGTTGGGCTGAGGACTGGGACTGACGATGACCACACTTTGTGCCTGCTGCTGAGACTGAGGCTGCTGGGTGGGAGGGGCTACTGTGGCTGCCGGCCCACCTGACTGGTTTGACGCTGGTTTGGGGGCGATATTCTGAAATGCGACACGCGACCCTTGGGAATTGGGCACACCTGGATTACTCAACATCTGCCCACCCCCAGCCTGGATGGAGGGTGCTGAAGCAGAAGCACACTGGGGTTCAACCAGTGGAGCTCCGCTTGGATTCCCACAGAGAGGAAGGGTCTGAGGCAGAGGTGGATGCTGGGTAATTGGGGGGCACACGCCTTGTACTCTGGCGGTGAGGATGTGGCCCTGTGGTACAGGTTGGAAAAGTGTGACGGGCGTCCCAGTGGGGAGCATGGGGGAGTGCTGCTGCTGAGACGAGAGTGAAGGGGAGGGGTTCTGGGGGCTGTGGTTCTGGGTGGCTGGAGCAGACGGTGGAATCTGGGCCGCCGTACCGAGTCGGACTTGTAGCTGCGGCTGTGCTGCCAGAGGGTTTGATGGTAGCACCAGAGGCACCTGTGGTGGCACCGGGTGGCGGGGAACAGTCGAGTGGCTCGCAGGAGGTGGTTCCTGTGAAGTCAAGGCCACAGAGGGTGCGGCGACACCAGTGTTGTGGGTCGGGCCCGGGGCCCGGACAAACTGTGATCCCAGATTAGAGTGTCCTGGAGGTAAGACTGGTAACACAAGAAGAAGACAGTTCAGAAACACAACACAACAAACTCTGCTTCATGCTGCGACCCACAGTAAAGCAACACAAACATGAGATGTTTGAATTTTAATATTTAATATCATCACCCATCAATACTTGAGTTATAGTAGGTCTGTCACGATAAACCATAAATAAATTACTCGCATCATTTTCATTTATCGGCTTTATCGTTTCTTCGTGTCTCTCTTTCTACTGAAGACACTGGATGACAAAAAGCTCAACTCCGGTGCTCTTCACTGACCCCTCCCTTTCTCTTTAAAATCTGTTTTAACGATCCAAAATCTCGTTTTTGGATCGTTAAAAGCAGCCAAGCTGAGAAGCTAAGCTACGAGCTAAGCTAACGAGCTGACCCCGGGGGAAAAACCTCCGTCTTGTCGAAGGAGAGACAGCCCGTGTCACGTCAAGGAGCCTCCATCCCATTTTTCTTAAAGATACACACTGCTCGCTCCCTCACTATCCATCCTTCGATTCAAACAGTATTGTGGTAAAAAAAAAAGAAGGTACTACACACAAAAAATTAACCAACATTTCTTCTTAAATTTGACAATAATTACCAATTATTGTCAAACTTCAAATAATATTATCAATTTATCGCAATAATTTCTGAGACAATTAATTGCCCAGCAAAATTTTATATTGTGACAGGCCTAAGTTATAGTTTAAGTTTTGTTCACTCTCTGCAAATCCAGTACCAACTATAAAACTTCTGCCATTTCTAACTTTGTATTGATTAGTTTTAAACGCCTAAAAAGTCCATTTTCAGATTTCTACCCATTTTATAGACAGAAATAACACAAGTGCAGTCCAGTGGGTTCTGACCCAGGACGTGATCCAGCTTCTCCAACCTCTGACTTCCAGTGCTGAGCTACTGTGAATAACTTCCTCTCACTTTGATCATTCCTCGTGTGTTTGGCTTTTTAATTAGTTCAGCCGTGTTAATCTCAGCGGTACCGCCTGCATCCTCCTCCACAGCATCACTAATCTGTCGTTTCCAGACCTCGTCATCATTTTATATTGAAATGTTTCTTTTAAAGAAAATCTAAACTACATGGAAAAGAAATATGAAGGATTAAACTAAACAAAATCTGACTTTAAATACAGCAAACACAGTTGAAACCAGATGTTTACAGTGTATGTAAACATCTGGTTTCAACCTGTAACAACCAACAAATCACTGGAGCCTAAAGTGTGGTACCTGGTGGCAGGGTCTGGGGGTCTGCAGGTGCTTCATGCGGAGCTGCTGGAGGTGGAGGAGCTGCCGCTGCCGGGTTCTGCTGCTGCTGGTAGTACAACTGGATGGGCAGAGGGATCGCCCTTCGCCTTATTCCCACCAGGAGGATCTGGAGCTGGCTGCTGACTTTAGCCTCATCTTGCCGCCTCATCGTGTGGTTGGGAAACACGGTCCTGTGGAGCAGAAGAAGCCTTAGATTCAAAGGCTTTAAAAGCGCATGCTAATCTGAACATTCCTATAAAAAATAAATAAATAAATAAAGACTTTGATCTGTGGACGCACCGCAGACATTTGAGGAAGCCGGTGGAGTTCAGGATGTTGCTCCGACCCATTTTGCTGCACGTGGTGAGGTACTCTGAGTACATTTCTGATCGAGACACGGAGCCCTCGGGGTTCGTCTCGAAGTGTGCATTTAGCCTGTCGGCACAAACAGACGGGCTTTAACACAAGAACGAAACAACAAGGAGACTAATCCAACTCTTCTTCACATCCTTTAGGGACGGAAACCTCACCACTGCAGCGTAAACTTCTCCCCATCCAGTTCAACAATGCCAGGAGGGGGTTGACTGGACTGGACCGGGACCCTGGTCACTGAAGAAACAAGATGAAACCAGCTTATAAAAACATGTCAGACGTGCAGTGAATCTGTGATACTCAGGTCCTCCACTGGATGTCAGCACAATAAACTTCACAGAAGTCAGCATGAAGCCACTGAAGGTCTACGACCCGTTTAAAACATTTCATCAGTTTTATTTGTAACCTCACAGAGGTGAGAATTACATTAGTTGAAGCTAAAGGCTAGCTACTGCTCCAAATTAGCCATCCTCTTTGATGCATGACATCTAATAAAGGAATAATTCAACCATGGTGACATTTATAACAAAGTTACAGTTTAGAGTCAAACATGTTGGGGAACACGGTGCGGAACGATGGAGAACGGGACACTCAGCGTCTCCCCCGCCACAAACATGGAAAGACGTTTATTAATTTATTTACATGTCATGACCTTTCCAGCAGGGCGGCCCGCCCTCTTTGGACAACGGTCGTTCATGACAAAGTTCTTACATGAGCCTCAACAACACGTTGATGTTGTTTTAAGATAAAAACCACTTTGGTTGTGTTTGGACGAGCAGTGAGCGCTTCAGACAAGACACGGAGTCCTGTTCCAAAATGGCCGAACTGTCCCTTTAATTTGAAGCTCCGCGGCCGTACAACTAAACATTTAAGAAGTTGAGCAGCAGCATCCAGGAGAACAGCTGAGCTCAATGTGACGATTAAAACTCAACGCTCTGAGCAGACGCACGACAGGAAGTGACGCTCGTTTTTTTTTTTTTCTATCATTTGCTTCAACAAACTAACCCAAACAGCACCAGAGGGGTTTAAGCTCTGGTCCTAATGATCTCGGCGGCTCTGACACAAACACTCACCCGGCGCCGGAGCTCCCTGCACGGCTGCAGGAACCTGCTCGACCAGCTGCGGTCGGACCTCGGCCGCCTGCTCGGCGTTGGCCTGGTGCTCGATCAACCGTACCGCCGTCAGTGCGTCAGGCCCAAACGTGTGAAGGTCTACAGACACTAACCGCACCAAGAGGTCTGAAAGGAGAACAGCAGAGAGAACGGGTCAGACTCAGAGAGACACTCCTGCTGAGCGTCTCCAGTAAGACTGGACCAGTTTGTTTGAAACGAGCCTGACTGGAGTTGTACCTATGCTGCGGTCGACTGAGGCGATCTTGCTGCAGGGCACCTCTCCAAGCTGGGCCAGCAGATAGAGCACCTCCAAGGAGGCCATGAGGAGCAGGAGGTCTGGCAGAGTGAGGAGCATCATCACCTCCCTGTACGACTCCTGGTCCACATACTCGCAGATCAGCACACCGTTATCGTCCGCCTTGCTGAGGTTCCCCAGGATCTCCATGGCTGCACAAAGACACGGCGGCTGTAAAAACCCACGGCTGCTTCACCTGCGGCCACTCGAGCAGAGCGGAGGACAACCCACCTCGCATTTTCAGGAACCGGTCCCGGGACATCAAGCATTTGGTGATGGTGTGGAAGATCAGGTGCGTCGTCCGAAAGTCTACAGGATCCAGCTGAAGCTGCAACGAGTCAGAAGGTCAGATCATCAGTTGAAGCGTTTTCACTACACGCTGCTTCCGGTTCTCTGGTTTCAGTCACGGTTTGTGACTCGCTGCTGATCCCGCAGCGTTGGAAGAACTTGTGCATCCCAACGTGCAGCCTGACTGGGACCAGTGAGCTACAACTCTCGGTACATCGCACAACAAAGAAAACAATGCACAACTAGGAATTTATGGCAAAACAAAAGCAAAAAAAAAAAAAAAAAAGACGACACCCAGCCCTCGCTGGAGCTCTAATGCTCAGACACTTTGTAGGAAAATCATCAAAGATTAATAAACAAGTTGCAGAAAGTTCCACTGAAATAATATTTTATCCTCTTATACTGCGACAGTTTAACCATCAAACTGAAGGTGACTATACTGTGTGTGTGCACACGTCTGCACTCAGTAAAACAGTTCATCAATCACCAAACAAATCAAAACTAAAAGTCATCACTGGCTGCACACGGTGGAGTCAACCCAGTTCAAGATGGCTGCAACAGCTAAACAGCCCGAGGCCCCGTTTACACGACAACAACCTCTGGAAACTGTGTTTTTTTCAACAAAAAGAGAAGTGTGTTTACATGAAAACGCTGTCGTTTCAATGCGAGTCGGGTTGCCAGATAAGAAATGATGAACTACAGTACTGTGGCTTTACAATGATAGTATTTTGACCTAAACTGTCATATGTGCTGAGTAAATATATTCTAAGAGGAGGTGTGTGTTGTGTTTGTAAAACATGTGCACAGAAAGGGAGGGGGTACATAATAAGACATTTTAAATGTATCTTTATCTGCAGCCGCCAGTAGTGCACATGTGCCACTTCAACATTTCACACCTCTGTGGGGGGATCCCCTGAAAATCTCTCTGAGACGTGGATTCAGAAACCTTTAGTTTCAAGCCCCCAGTATACTCCCGCGTACATCCATACACCATACACCATCTACACCTCCAGATGCAGGAAGAGGGCCACCTGCATCATGAAGGACCCCACCCACCCAGCACACACACTTTTTGCCCCACTCCCCTCAGGAAGGAGGTTAAGGAGCATTAAGTGTAGAACCACTAGACTGAGGAACAGCTTCTACCCTGAGGCTGTTAGACTCATGAATCTCTAACTAGAATAATCACTGTGAAAAACCATATCATGTTGCTGCTGATCTGTTTCATGTTGCTGCTGATCTGTTTCAATGTTGATGTGTTCATGCGTGCACATCTGCTCACAGACTCATGTTCATGTTTGTGGTGATGTTCAATGTTTTTATGTTATGAGTGCTTAGTGTATATTTAGTTGATGTTTTTATTAGTTCATATCTTAGATGTTATTACTGTTTTTCTTTTCCATTTTATTGTTGGATGTAACTGGGACCCTGTGTACATAATTTCGCTCCACCACATGTACCACATGAGGTGCGAATGACAATAAAGAAACTCTGACTCTGACTCTGACACGCGGAGGTATGAGCGTACCCCCCAGGGCATGTCCGTGCGAAGCTCAATTTTTACGACCGCGTACGCGTACTCGGTGTCGCACAATAAACTGCCCGGCGACAAACTGTTTTGTATGCGACACCAACGTATTAAATTCCTCTTCTTCATCCCTGATCTGGCCTTTTATTTTGTTTTTTTCCAAGAGGCAGTGATCTCTTCCTCCTCCGTTGACTCCATGACTGAAATGGTGAAAAATGGAGGAATTTGTCACGAGCAAATTAAACTCAGGTCCAGTGTGGCTGTGGGAGGGTCTGGAGATTTCCTGGTGGGCTGGTCTGATGAGTGGGCTGCAGGGCCAGCGCTCCCTGTTTTTTTAAAATATTTTTTAGATCTTTTCATTAACGATATATAAACACAGAACACCGCTGCAGCTGAGGCTGCCAGCGCTCCCCCCCCCCCACCCCAACCTGTCAATCAACCCAGTAGGCGTGTCAGCAAATGACCAATCGGTGACCTCAATTTGTCCCGAGGGTAAACGCCCCTTGTCTGCGAAGCTGCTCTGCAGCTGTTCAGGGTGTACGCTCGAGTATGAAGTCTGAACCCTCTGCGTACAGTATGCACGTACGTACGTGTGAACGGACAAACGCGGGAGAATACTGGGAGCTTCAGAGAGAACGAGGCTGTTGTCGTGTAAACAGGGCCTGGGTCTAACAAAAATGTCTGCCTCGTTCAAAACTGCCGACAGATCATAGGAAGGAATGTTTTTTAGGAGTTTTTAAAATCACAAAACGTTCATCTTTAACGTCACACACTGAACAGTCTAAAATATTTACAACCTTTAACTCAAATTTTAAATGTTACTTTGAGAAAGAGACGGAAGTGACGGAGGGTTTCCAAACGATGCGTCCCCGACTGACCTCTGCCAGCGTGCCTGGAGCTCATTATTTAAACATTAATCTGTCTGATCCTGGAACAGTGAGCGTGGAACACAGCAGCTAATCGTGCTGCTCGTTTAGCTGCTGTGTTCTGGCAGCGCAGGTGCTTTGTGTCAAGAATCTGATGGTGGCAACGAACACAACCGCCGAGCTTTCAGTTCCTCTTGCTGCACTTTGTTTTTTTAACCTTTACCAGGATAAAAAAAAAAAACTTTGCGATTAAAAACCAATTTTTCAAGGGAGACCTGGCCAAGAGGCAGCAACAAATACAAAAAAAAAATACACAGTTAAATGTCAAGCTATAAAAACAGGTACATTTCATTGACTCGGCCTCAGTAACTTTTAGTTTGGATGTAAAAACAATGAGTGAGATGAATTCAGTCAATCTCAGAGAGTTTATAAACAGATAGAAGCAGATCCACTTTCAGTTTTGTAGATTTTAAATGATTTAACAGAAGAACCACGCGCTGATGTTTTATAACAAATATCATCCCTGGTCGATCTGGAAACTATAGTTCAGTAAAACGAGAAACTAAACAAATCCTAAATGGTCCTTTTTAATTTTAAATACATTTAAAAAACTCCTGAAAACGGAGAGAAATAATTAAACTAATAAATGAAAATAAAAACCAGGAAGTGTTTGCGTCAATAGTTTGAACTTCATATAAAATTAGCTGAGTGTTGCTTAAATGATACAGCTGCTTGCCATACCTGCATCCGTTTTATTTGTAAAACACCCAGCTGATCCTTCCAGCACTGGATCTACTCAGACTTCAGATATTGAACAGATCTCCGTTACAGCACAGCAGCCCCACTCTGCACCTACCTCAGCAGCCACGTTGCCCAGCGTGTCCAGTCCAAGCTGTCGGAGTGAGATGAGGTTGCAGTGGGCGCAGAGCAGAAGGAAGCGCAGGCACGTTCGGTTGGCCGCCAGCAGCTTGACGTTGGCCTCCTCGAAAGAGAGGTTTCGCAGGATGACGGCGATCTGCAGCACTCGCTGGGCCTCTGCGTCGCTGATACCCGGGTTCCGCGGAGGGTGGAAGAGGCTCGGCCAGCGCTCCTCGCACGACGTACCGTCTGTGGAGAGAACGGAGGGCGGAAAATAAAACCTCGTGGAAACCCTGGGACAGAATGAACCCCTGCAGCGACGGGACGTTGAGCTCCAAACGTGTTTACCTTGTGCTGGACTGCTCTTGTCCCAGATCAGCTCTCGGACTTCAGCGTCCTCCACCACCTCTCTCCAGAACTGGAACACAACAGAGGCTGGTCAGAGCCTTGAAGCAGCCAGTCAAACAACCGCTGCGCACCAGGGCTCCAGTGGTGAATGAGTCTCACTGTCAGACACGGACCAGTCCATCCAGATCATATTTATTTTCAATAAGACCGTTTTCAACCCCTCGTAAAAACCTGCAGCTTCAGTTTCCCACAATGCAACTCGACAGCTGTCAGATATTTCTGCTTGAGGCTTCACGCTGCAGCTAGCCGCGAGCACCAACAAGGTCAGAGCTGTAGATGCTCATGTTCCAACTAAACTCTTTTACAGTCCATTTATCTGACCTTCAAATGGTTTTCATCATTTATACTGATGATACTTTAAACTGGCACTCTTGAATATTAATTACTTTAGAAGTTTAAAAACAATACGTACATACTCTTATCTACTAGATGGCGCTGTGGATCCAAATGATGATAGGGTTTGAAGTTGACAAAGGTCCGGCTCAAAATGAACGATTATTTGAAACATTCGTCACAGATGATTTATTCACAGATTGACCCAAATTTACACAGAAAAACAGCTAAAACTCCCCCGTCGAGAGGACGGACTCCAGAAACCATCTGATCGCCATCAAACTGCCCACTATGTGAGTGTGCTGCTTACGGGACTGAGTTTGTGGAGGCTCCTAGAACTGATGAAGTCCTTTGGATGAAGAACAAAACATTAAAAAAACCATCCAGAGGACCTGACTTAACTTTGTTGGGGCTAAAACTACCAGTAGTCTTTTTTATTGAACATATGAACATAAAAACAGTTATTTCCATGTTAGTTTTGGTCAAAGTAAGTAAGAGCCACAGGACAAGGACTAACGAGCCATTTGTGGCCCTGGAGCCACAGTCCCAGGTTCGATCCCCAGTCACTGCACATCACGTGGCGTCTCTGGGCAGCACGTCTCATCCCCAAAATGTCCCCCGGGCGCTTTCAATAGCTGCCCACTGCACCACCTGGTGGTGGATGGGTTAAATGCAGAGACTAATTTCGCCATTGTATGGAAACATACAGTGCTGACATTGTGATGACATTATTATTATTATTATTATTATTATTACAGGCTGAAGCGATGTATTCATGGATTTTTTCCCATATTCATAAACTAATTTTGGCTGAGATATGACAGTTTTCATTCATTCTGACTGAAAATATTGAACATTACCATTTTCAGCCACTTGATGGCAGCAGAGTAGTAGTGGCAGTAAGGCATGCCATTGTATCATGTAATAGGGAAAAGTGGCTATAATGACAAATTCAAAAAAGTTCCAGACAAAAACAACCAGACTTTATTTATAATACTTTTCTTTATATTTTATTGTTTTTGCCTTGAACTTTTTTGAATGTACCATGTCCTGGATGACTGAGAATCTTCACCAGCTATTAATGACACAATCGGCTTGCCATAGTCTGACACCTTCGTTCTGCTCGCTGCTTGGAGAAAATCAAACCAGCTTCATTTCGCTGCACCGCCCCGGCGAAATGCAGCTGATTTGACATTAAAGTCTTTTTATTTAGTAAAAGTTCAACTGAGACACACCTTTACTATAAATTTGAGCAAACAATTGTTTTAGGTGCTTATTTTGTTAAATAAATGCACAGCGAGTCGTTCCTCTGCGTGCTCCTACTTCTGCGTATCGGCTTTTGAAAATGCAGGTGATTTAACCATTTAAGTGCATTTATTAAGCAAAAGTTAGACTGAGACACACATTTACTATAATTTTGAGCAAACTAATTGCTTTAAAGTGTTGATCTTGTTAAATTCTTGTTTAAGTCCTCCCGTGCATGCTCCCATGGCCACCATTTGCTAGTCCATCCATTTTTGGCACAACACCGGCCCACATTTCCAGGTTGTCAGCGGTGACGCACAATAGATGCGACGTATATGGCAAAGCGACATATTTATGGATTTTTCCACTTTATTAAATAAATATGGACTGATGCGACTTATAGGGCGGAGCGACGTGTACAGCGGAAAAATATGTTGTGTATAAAGACCAAATCAGAAGGTTTGAAAAGTAAAAAAAAAAGTTATACTTTACCCTGACAAAGTCCCGGGAGGTTTTCTCCTTCCAGTCTGTCCCAAACACCCCAGAGAAGCTGCCAAGTGCTACAACATAAACAAAGAAACTTTTACCTGGGAGCTTACTTTTGTCTTTTTCTCCGCTTTTCTCTTGGATTTGGGAGAAAAAAAAAAGAACCAAGCATCGATACAATACGTTGATACCTGACGTGTGTCGAGGACTTACAGTCGTCGAAGACGCCGGCGTGGGCCAGCAGCAACGTGACCAGTTTGGGGTCTTTGTCCAGCTGCATGGCGTGTTTGCTCTCGTTGGACAGCAGTGTGCAAACGTTAACGGCGAAGTCGACTTCGTTGGGGAGGCTCGAGAGGAGAGACAGCACCAGTTTGTTGTAGTCGCACGGCTGAACAAAATCTGAAGACAGTCCATAACTTTGGCGGAGATAGTCTGAAAGGAAAAGATAAACGGCGGGAGGTCAGAAGATGTTTGGAGGAAATATTCATCAAACAGCTGCTGAACTTCAGATTTAGGCTGCTCAGATGAGACGAAGCTGTGTAGATAAAGATGATCCGGAGTTTGAAAGTACAATCACTCTGGAGTTTACAGCTTCTGGAGGCTAATCGTGGTCCTGCTGAGTCGACTTGATTTACCAACTTCAGGGGCTTGTTTAGGCTCGAGTCATTCAGCTGATCTCTACTGAAACAGAGTCATTGCAAACAGTTCGTCTTCTAAAACAAGCAGAGAGAATCCGACAACTGCTGCACATCTCGTGTGCACGGCACCGTTTTATGAACGTAATGACAGTTCTTATCGGACACAACAGGCTCGAAGGGACGGACACGTTGAAAGAAGACGGTGACAGTAGTCTGCATCGTTTGATCTGAACCTGAATAGGTTGGATTTTCCTCAGCTTGTAGGTGCTTTTAAACTCATGTGACTGCCAATATGTCCTTGTCCTGCTGTAGTTTATATAGCGTCGGTGACACGCTCCTGTCAGAGCAGAAGACTGGTAGAAAAAAAACACGCCGTGTTTTAGAGCAAGAGAGAAATCAGAAGCTTCTGATGGATGCAACCCTCTACAGGGAAATGCACTCTGATAAATTGCATTCCACAGGCTGAGCTCTGGGATGAAGACTGGGATACACGCCACTTTATCTAAACGCTGCCTTGCTCAGAATGAGGTCAAAGAAAAGTAAACAGTGAGTTAGTCCTATTGATGGCTCCCTTTACTCTCATTCCTACACCCCATCTTTCAGCATTTTAACTCAGCTGAAGGTCAATGCAAATAGCAGCCAGCCCAGCGCAGTCCAATTGTGCTTGTAGTGCACAAACCATGCTTGTGTTGCGGTCTGAAGCAGTTAGGGCTAAGTTTAATGGTTGTGTTAAACCACAGAGCCTAAACACGTCCTACTCTCTGCAGGGCTGCAGCTCTGGACGTCTGGATCATTGGGTTTAGTTTGAATATAATGCGTCTCCAGAAACATGCAACAGTAGCAGCTGGAGTTTGGAGCTTTGAACAGAAAGGGAAAGCAGAGAGCGTGCAGACTTTGGATCATTAATATGTCGGTCTCCGGGGTGTTTCTGTAGATTTTTTTGCCTGGATTACAGACTATTGCCTACGATGAACTGTATTAAATCACGCAGTAAATGTGTGGGAATTGTGTCCTTTAAAATAAGCTGTAAATGTAGAAAAAATTAGGCTCAATACCTGGAATCCCAGGCTGAAATTTAAGTCTTAAAATGAACACTGAACAGCCAGGCAGGTGTTCTGCTTCATGATTCCGAGGTTAAATTTGGATTCAAAAGTACAAATAGATTGTTTTCCTTGAAAATACAAACAAACAAAAAAAAAAACCAATGGTCAGAAGGATTAGATTGATTCAATTGTATCGATGATTTCAAGCGATCGTTATCACTTGGCAGGCTGCTCAGGCGTATGAACAGCTGCTTTTGTATTTCATCACTTGTTTTTTTTGTCATTTCTTACCATCAATGTATACAACTCTTACAGGAGAGCAGCACACAAGTCATCGTTTAAATCCCACAATATTGAAATGTGCACAGGCATTTCCTGTCTTAGGCACCAACATGAGATCATGTGCAGGAGGAGGCTTTTTGTACACGCTGTATTTATTTTATTTTTTTAAGATACATTTCTGGTCAAATCGTACCCTGTTAAATCATATTCCCAAGTTGTGTCCAGGCATGGCCATTTTCTGCTGCAAAAGGAGGAATTTCTCCAGTTCCTGTGATGGGTTAGTCTCTGTGTGGAGATCTATCCTGGACTTTACATACAGACACTGTGGTCATGAAAGCACAACAAAGACTCTACTTCCTAAGAAAACTAAAGAAGTTTGGTACGAACACCAGTATCCTCACATGGGAACTGCACCAGTCAGAAAGCTCTACAGAGGGTGGTGCAAACAGCAGGGGACATCACTGGTAGCAGTCTCCACACCATCCACGACATCTACCACAGCTGATGTCTGTGTAAAGCATGCAGCATCATTAAGGACCACACCCACCCAGCACAAGGACTCTTCTATCTACCCTCAGGCAGACGATACAGGAGTCTGTCATCGTGCAGGAAAAGATTCAGAAACAGTTATTATCCACAAGCGCTCAGATTACTGAACTCTTGACAACAACACGGCACCAAACCACATCTGTGACAACCAATACTTTTATTGCTGCTGCATTATGTGGCTGTATCGTGTATGTATCTACCTTACCATCATAATTCATCTCAATGTTACTCACTACCTGTGCAGTTTATGTTAGATATGCACATTATATACCATGTGCGTTTAAGCTTATATTACTACCTACGAAGTACTTATATATAAGTACTAATTCTTCCTGCTTGCACCATTATATTATACCATGTTATTGTTTACCATTTTTCTTTTAGACCTTGTAAATATTATATTTCTTTTTCACTTTGTGGTACTTTATTTTGTACCCTTCATTGCAGGGGTACTGGCAATAAAACACCATCTAAAGTCAAAGTTTATTTATTTGTCATACGCACCACATGTGGTAGATGTGCTGGAACAAAATTGTGTACACAGGGTTCCAGTTACATCCAACAAAAGAATAAATTGTATGAAAAACAGTATTAAGATCTAAGATATGAACTAAGAAAAACATCAACTAAAAATACACTAAGCACTTGTAGTGAACTTAACCTGATGTCAAGACTAAGCCTAAGGTCAAAACCCTTGACCTTAAGAACCTTGTGGGACAGGAACTGTCATTTCATTGATTTGAATCCAGAAATACAGGTTCACCCATCCTGAGACTCTCTTTCTTGAAAATCAAGTGGAAGAACACTCTCTTTTTATTATCATTACTATTTTACAAATGTTGATAATCAAAGTGTCTTAGTTCAAACCATTTTAGATGTTGCAGTGAACTAATCAATTTTATTAACTGTGAAACAGTGTAATGATTTTTTAATGCTTATGCAGAGTTAGAATTCATGTTAAGGTCTGTTACAGATTTTTATGCATTTTCTGATTTCTGTCTTTGAATGAGCAAGTGTGCGTTTTCCAAGGTCAGGAGTCGAAGCAGACAAGTGTTGGAACAACTGTCTTGTTTACATCCTCTCAGATGTAGAGCTGGCACCTGTTTTCCAAACTCGCCAAAACAAAACTCTCTGTCTCTGAGAACAGTTTAACCTGTTCCATAACAATTCTTGCTTTTTCTGACTCCTAGTAACCTCTTACGTCACAAAACACACCCCTGTCTGGTCGGTACTGACCAATGGGAAGACTCCCAAATGAACCGGGAAAAGAGCTCTTTAAAAATGTCGGTACTTCCTGGCTCTCGGAGTTCTGATATGTCCTAGTGCTGTGCAGTTGCTGTGGGAGCCAGTTCTGGATTTGCCCAGTTCTCAGTTCTGTGAAGTTCTGTTGGGTCTGGCTGGGAGCCGGGAAGACCCTGACATGACCACAGAGCTCTTCCGAGTTTCATGGGATTATAACACTTTCCACTTGCTGAGGTGAGCTTGTGTCGGACGGAATCTCGTCACTACTTCGGACGAGTCACAGCCATCCTATGGAGACGCTGGACAGGTAGCGTTAACTGGACCTCCATATCTGCTGATTAATCTTCAGAAAGGTAATGAGTCAAGTTTCCTACCAAAGCGTACCGAGGAGAGCTGGGTTCGAATGGAGGGTGCCGTTTCTGAAGCTGACACCACATTCTCCCTCATCCATCTTTTACTCCCTTTAAACTCCATCTTTCCATCTTTAAATTCTTCTCTCAAGTAGAAATCCTTCCAGATAATTTAGAAATGTCTGTGTAAAGTGCTCATCCACCGCCGTGTGGATAATTGATCATAATTGTACAGTTTTCAGAAATGTCTGTGGTGAAGCAACGGTTTTCCTGATTGATTGATTATGTTGTTATTTTCATATTTTGCCAAATTAATGTAAATGTTTGATGTTAAACTTTGATTCTGTAAATAAATGACCGCATTCATTTTGATGGGTCAAAGATAAATGACGTCTCACGTTTGCATTTCATTAAATTCAATGCACGTTTTATTCAGTCCAGAAAAATGAGGAATCCGTTTTAATTGATGAATATATCTCTGCATCTGTTCATCTACACACTAATAGTACAAAACAAATATACGCCGAACAGCATGAACATGAGTCTGTGTGAGCAGATGAGTACAAATGAATACAGCAGCATGAAATACATCAGCAGCATAAAATCAGCAGCACATCAACAATCAAGTGGCATTACAGTGATTATTCTGGTTAGAGATTCATGAGTCTAACAGCTTCAGGGTAGAAGCTGTTCCTCAGTCTAGTGGTTCTACACTTATTGCTCCTCAACCTCCTTCCTGAGGGGAGTGTGGTAAAAAGTGTGTGTGCTGGGTGAGTGGGGTCCTTCATGATGCAGGTGGCTCTCTTCCTGCATCTGGAGGTGTAAATGTCTGTGATGGTGGGGAGGCTGACTCCAACATCTTCTGTGCAGCCTTCACCACTCTCTGCAAAGCTCTTCTTTCTGCAGCTGTGCAGCCTCCATGCCACACGTTGATGCTGGAGCACAGGATGCTCTCCACTGCACACCTGTAGAAGGAGGTGAGGACTGAGCTTCCCAGACCAGCTCGTCTCAGCCGTCTGAGGAAGTAGAGTCTCTGATGAGCTTTCTTGATCAGGCTGGTGGTGTTGTTGCTCCAGCTGAGGTTGTTATTCAGGTGTACACCCAAGTACTTGTAGCTGGAGACCACTTCCACCGCAGATCCTCTTATGTTCAGGGGGGTGTAGATGTTTTTGTTCCTTCTGAAGTCCACAACCATCTCTTTTGTCTTCTTCACATTGAAGTCAAGGTTGTTCTTCCTGCACCAGCTCTCCAGGTGTTCCACCTCCTGCCTGTAGCTGGACTTGTCGTTGTTTGTGATGCACCCCACCACCGCTGTACCATCTGCAAAACTTGACAATGCGACAGCCCGGATGGGTCGGTGCACAGTCATACATAAGCAGAGTGAACAGGAGAGGGCTCAACACACAGCCCTGGGGGGAGCCAGTGATGAGGGGTATGGTGAAGGAGGAGAAGTTGTGGATCCTCACTAACTGTGGTCTGTTTGTTAAAAAGTCTAGTACCCAGTTGCAAATGGAGGGGCTTAGTCCTAGTGTGGATAGTTTGTCCATCAGGGTTTGGGGGATCATGGTGTTGAAGGCGGATGTGAAGTCCACAAAGAGCATACGGACGTGAGTTTTTCTGCTCCAGGTGGTTGAGAGCAGTGTGGACCACAGAGGAGATGGCGTCTTCTGTTGATCGATTCTCACGGTATGCGTACTGATGAGGGTTCTCGCCGATGTTGTTGGTTGTTTTGATGCGAGTCATGACCAGTCTTACAAAGCATTTAGCGACTGTTGGGGTGAGGGACATTGGCCGATAGTCATTCAGACCAGTCACTGTAGAGCTTTTTGGACCTGGAATGATGGTGGTGGTCTTCAGGCAGGTGGGAACTGTCTCCAGGGTAAGTGAGGTGTTAAAGATGTCTGCCAGGACCTCAAAGAGCTGATCGGCACATTCCTTCAACACTTTTCCGGGGATGTAAACACGGTCCAGCACGGTATGGCAACATGTTGATAAAATCTTGGCAGGGAGACCTTCAGATTTATGTGTTTAAAGTCACCAGCCACCACGTAAAATGCTCAGGGTGTTTGCTCTGCAGAGAGCTGATGTTATCATGAAGCTCCCACAGGACGTCTGCAGCATTAGCATCTAAATATAAAAGCACTGTTTTACCAAGCAGGAGTTGAAGTGAGGTTTACTGTCGTCTCTCGAGTGATTGGCAGGCAGCCTAAAGATCAGAACAGCAGCTGACAAGGATGTGAATGTGAGTCCGAGGAAACGCTGAACGATTTCTGCCTTTACGTATAATGTGAGGTAAACTATAAACATAATTCCAAAGAATCACAACTCAGTACAACAAGCGGCAGCTCTCTGTTCTACAGCACATCTCTTAAGTCTGTCTGCAGATGTGGCTCATCTGTTTGTCACCACCAGCAGCGTTTAGAAGACAATTAGCTCAGCAGGCAGGGGGCTGCCTGTTCCAGGAAAGAGCCTGCACCTGAAAAGCTGGAGACTAATCTAAACTGAGGTGGAGGGAAAACCAACAAGTGTATCTTTCCTCCTCGAATCAATACTCACTGTCAGAAAAGTCAATTATCTCTAACTCTGTGGCCAAAGAACGGCTTGGACTCCCAGCGTGAGACGGGCGGGAGTTTAGAAATCTGCAGCAAGAAACATTTAGGCTGAAATATGACGATGGAGCAACAAAGTCCATGCTCAATAATCCAGGTATACATTCCAACATCTTTCAGTCAGCCTCTATCATGAAAACAGCTGCATTCTTGGCATTTCATTACGAGTCAGTTATTCAGCATAGGGGTGGGGGTTAATCTCGCTAGCTTTGGTTCAGTCCAGGTGAAAGAGTTTAATGAGTCACTGAGTAACAGAAGTGCTTCATACGTACAACAGTGGAGTTGTCACACCGTGGAGCAACACGTCAAATAAAACAAGTCATGAAGGGAAAAAAGCAGCCGAAAACTGTTCACGCTTTTAGGAAGAAGACCTCGAGGAAAACAATAAATAACTCGTTTAAAAAGCAATATGTCATTTTAACCATTTAAAGAACAAAAGAAAATAATCTGAGGCTCGCTCGTCTGTTTTAGAACTCATTTTTCTACAAGGAGGCAAAAAGAGCTAACTATTATTTTCTTTGTTTTATTGAAAAACTAAAATTTGATTAAAAAAAGTTTAATCTGGTCCTCTGGACATTCAAAAAACTAAACAACGCAAAACAAAAAAAATTGAAACGTTTCGTCTTTCATCCAAAAGACTTCTTCAGTCTGAGGTGCTGTATTCAGTTCAGTCTCTTAAATAGCACCTTCTCAGAGTGGATCAACCAGTTTGCTGCTGACAACCTACTTCACATATGGGGAGCAATATTATAGGCAGAAACATGGGTGTGCTATGGGGTCTCCAGTTTCTCCTATTGTTGCCAACCTGTACATGGAGGAGGTAGAAACGTCCTTTTCAGGGACACCACCAAGTCATTGGTTCAGGTATGTTGACGACACCTGGGTTAAAATTAAATCTCAGGAAGTCCAACATTTTACTGACCACATCAACTCTGTGGATAAATACATCAAGTTCACACGAGAAGATGTAAAAAATGGCAGGTTGGCTTTCTTGGACTGTGAGGTCTCAGTCTCTGATAGAGGACATTTGCAAACTGAGGTGTACCGCAAACCCACCCACACAGACCAGTATTTGCAGTTTGACTCCCATCACCCTTTGGAGCACAAGTTAGGAGTCATCAGGACTCTGTATCACAGAGCAGACAGCGTCCCCACTAGCTCAGGAGCCAGGCAGAAGGAGAAATCCCACACAAGACAGACTCTAGAGCAATGTGGATATCCTAACTGGGCCTTCCTGAAAGCAGAGAAGAAACCCAAACAGGACTCCAGTCAGCCATCAGGTGAAAAGGAGGAACCCAGACCAGTGGTCATTCCATATGTTGAGGGGGTATCAGAGAAACTGAGATGTTTATTTTCTAAACATAATGTCCCAGTGGCTTTTAAACCCCAAAATACATTACGGCAAAGACTGGTTCATCCCAAACATCCAGTCCCCCGGCACAAACAGAGTAATATTGTGTATGCTGTTCAGTGTCAGGGCTGTGATCAGTCTTACATCGGGGAAACTAAACAGCCACTGGCCAAAAGGATGGCCCAGCACAGAAGATCAACATCATCAGGCCAGGACTCTGCGGTCTACACTCATCTCCAGGCCAGCGGTCACTCTTTCAGGGATGAAGATGTTCACATCCTGGACAGAGAGGAACGATGGTTTGAGAGAGGAGTAAAGGAGGCCATCTTTGTGAAAAGAAACCGTCCATCATTAAACAGGGGTGGAGGCCTCCATGTTCAACTGTCCCCCTCTTACAATGCTGTGATTGCTAGTATCACTCAGCCCTCTGTGAACAGTAAACAGCCATCAGTGTGCTAATGATCCATTGTTAGACTGATGGTCCTTCTTGAGCATGTGATCAGCTGGTTTTGATTGTCAGCAGCAAAACTGGTTGATCCACTCTGAGAAGGTGCTATTTAAGAGACTGAGCTGAAAACAGCACCTCAGACTGAAGAAGTCTCTCAGATGAGAGACGAAACGTTTCTACTTCTTTTTTTTGTTTGTTTTTTGAATGTCCAGAGGACCAGACAGAACTTTTTTTTTAGATTTTTCTACCTGGATTATTGATCATGCATCAGGATAAAATTTGATTAATTTTCAGTTTATATATATTTATATATACATACAGAATTACTGGAATTTTACCAAAACAAGACTTCATTTATTTTTTTCATTTTTTATTTAGTTGCACAGAAGAAATCAAAAAGACAAAAGAGATAAAATAGTTTCAGATGAAAGGTGATCTGACCGATGTTTGAGGAACAAAAAGGACTGAGTGAGTAGGACATTAGAGTGAAATGTCTTTGTATTTCAACAAAATTGTCAATCTTGTCACGGACAGACAACATCAAAATGTGGGTGGGAAAGGTGAAACAGCCACACATGCCTCCACCCTCATTTGCCCCACTCTGGGCCCTTGAGCAAGGCCCTTAACCTTAACCTATTGAGACCCGTGTTACTTCTGTAACTTCGTTCCACCATTCTTGTTCTATTTCAACACGTCGTGTATCAAAACGTTCAGCTCATTCAGGACATTCCTACTTTTGTTTCCAAGTTTTTCTCATTGAAAATGAATGGAGCTCTCTTCACATCCTCCAAACTCTTTGAGCTGTTGAAAACATTTTACTGCTCATTTCAGCTTCTGTTCTGGTTCAGCTTTTTCCATCTTTATGCTAATTTCAGCTTCCTTCAGCCATTTTTATTTTTTTCCCCCCTGTCAATTTCAACTTATTTGCCTTTTCAGCTACATTGTTAAGTCAGTTTGAGCTTTTTCCTGCTCATATCAGATTATTTTTTATATTTTTTTAATCAACATTCAGACTTTCTATGCCTATTTCAGCTTATTCGGCTCATTTCTGTTCTATTCGGCCTTTTCTTTACATTTCTGCCAGTTCTCTACTGCTTTCAGCTTTTACTTTCCTGCTTTCTGCAAATGTCATTGTGCAAATTCAACTCGCATCAACAGTTTAGAGATGAAACCTTTCCAGCTGGTTTAAACTTCTTCAGCTGCTTTCAGCTAAACTCATTTAACAATAATAAGAACTCACTGAGTTGTTGCAGGGAATGACATTTCTCCATTTCTTCCTCTACTGTGAGGTTAAATATGTACCAGTACACACGACCGTTCATGAACTGACGAGCTGCATGAATCATACGTCCAGCTCTAATCTGCTGGATGAAAATCAAACACTTCTTTGACAAGTGACCATATGAACTTCCAGAGAACGCGACAAACTGAGAAGCCAAATCACCCGATCCAGATGAAGGTCAACCTGTGCCTACCTGATACGACATGTTGCTGGTAGTTGTAAGAGTTTGGGATTGCACCGACTGGAAGAGAGGCTTTGGGGTTCCCCGGCTGAGCTTCGTCGTCATCCTCACCGAAGTGGTGGACCTTCTCGTACTTCTCCAGGTATCTGCGTGAGCAAAGAGACGAGCTTTAGGAAAAAAGTGGGCCAATAAGACCAAGATTCATTGCTGCACATTCTGGTGTGAATTTTTACATAACTTTATTTTCAAGACTGAAGGCATGCTCGTTGAAAGCATCAAGCATTTTTTATGAGCATGAACTTTGTTCAAATGTACACTAAAGTCCTCATTTGGTACCTCAGTTTCAGAGTTAAGTTGTGGATTGAGCTGTATAAAAAATAACATTAAAACACTTTCGCTGGGCACTGAACAGCAAGCTGTTACAGGACCACTCTGCTAACAGGACCGTGCTGCTAACAGGACCAATCTGCTAACAGGACCGTGCTGCTAACAGGACCACTCTGCTAACAGGACCACTCTGCTAACAGGACCACTCTGCTAACAGAACCACGCTGCTAACAGGACCACTCTGCTACCAGGACCACTCTGCTAACAGGACCATGCTGCTAACAGGACCACTCTGCTAACAGGACCACTCTGCTAACAGAACCACGCTGCTAACAGGACCACTCTGCTAACAGGACCACTCTGCTAACAGGACCACTCTGCTAACAGGACCACGCTGCTAACAGGACCACTCTGCTACCAGGACCACTCTGCTAACAGGACCATGCTGCTAACAGGACCACTCTGCTAACAGGACCGTGCTGCTAACAGGACTACGCTGCTACCAGGACCATACTGCTAACAGGACTGCACTGCCTACAGGACAATACTGCTAACAGAACTACGCTGCTAGCAGGACCATGCTGCTAGCAGGCTTGCACTGCTAACAGGACCGTGCTGCCAACAGGACTACGCTGATACCAGGACCATACTGCTAACAGGACTGCACTGCCTACAGGACCATACCGCTAACATGACCGCACTGCTAACAGAACCTTGCTGCTAACAAGACTATGCTACTAACAGAGCCACGCTGCTAACAGAGCCACGCTGCTAACAGAGCCACGCTGCTAACAGAGCCACGCTGCTAACAGAGCCACGCTGCTAACAGGACCGTACTGCTAACAGAGCCACACTGCTAACAGAGCCACGCTGCTAACAGAGCCATGCTGCTAACAGGACCGTACTGCTAACAGGACCACAATGCTAACAGGACCGTGCTGCTAACAGGACCACAATGCTAACAGGACCGTGCTGCTAACAGGACTGCAATGCTAACAGGACCGCACAGCTAACATGACCGCACTGCTAACAGGACCATGCTACTAACAGCACCAAACAATAACAGCGTTTTTATAACACAATTTTTATTTTTATTGCTTTTTATTGTTGTATATTGTTATTTGTACCATGTATATGTTGGCTTTCTAGAACAGGTCTCTACTGAAAAGAAGTCCTCGTGACTCAGTGAGACTACCTGTATAAATAAAGGTTAAATAAAAAAATAAAAAAATATGCTTCTTCTTCCGGTAGTGGGGTTCACTGGTGCCCATATCCAGCAGTCAGTGTGCGAGAGGCAAGGGACAAGCCACAAATTTAATTCAATCTTGAGTACAGCATTCAGAACATTATACGCCCGTCAACAAACTATTATACAGCAGTCTATAGCAATAGTCCTGACAAGCAAAGATCATGCAGAACATCTGACATTGATTTGTGACCTTGACCTTGGAGCTGGGGTCATGAAAGTGCATGTGACACTGTCTAGTGACGATGCACATGTGTATCGGGTTTGGTTAAATATTCTTGAGGGGATCAGAAGTTATGGGCAGGACAATAGAATACAATACTATACCATAATACACCAGCCTTTGATGGGCGTATAACAAAAATTATACATATATGCACATCTTTAATTGATTTAAACTTTTTAGAATAACACAAAATGTTCTAACACAAAGAACTTTAACCAAACGGAGAGAAAAAACATTAAGATAATTATTTTGAATAGAAACCGGTGAACAAATCCTGCAGGTTTTACCAGCGGATGGTTATCACAGTCTAGTAATCTACTTGGTGCCGTTTAAATTTTTTTATTAAAGAGAAATATACTTGATCAATGTCTGAAAATGAACACGTATATGAAATAAAAGTTGGGAAAATCTGGTTTATGATGTAAATGCTGGTTCTCACAAATTAAAATCGGCATCAGTGTACCCAAACTGGTCCACAGCAACGGCCCAACAAAGCTCTGCTGCTGCTCAAAGTAGAGCTGGGTAGGAAGAATGGTGTGGTGTGTTCAAGTGTCCAACAACAGCATCACTTTCAATACTGTTCATATGACTTCACAGCTAATTTAATTCCAGCTAAGTGAGTTTAAGCTGTAGTTGTGTTTGTTTACAAGCAGTGCACTTCCTGTAAACTCTTCTTCTGCTGCTGCTGTTCCTGAGGTTACTTCTGTGTAGTGACGCCTCCTGTTTTAAAGGAGGACTGCAGGAAACAAAGGGTTTTTAAATGACAACTCTGCCATGCTGACTGCACGCCACCATCATTACTCAACCCGTTCCATTAACAAAACATCAACAAAAGTGTTAAAAATAGCAGAACTCAAATAAACTTAATCTATCAAAACAAGTTGATGCTTGTATTATCCGTGTAACTAACAGCTGAGTGGTCGTTAGCAGCTGAAAGAAGATGGAAGCAACGTGAACTAGGGTTTGAGAAAAATTTACATTGGCCAGTTTGTTAATGTTGTGGTGGAGACAATAGAAGAACGAGTGGAGGCAGAGAGGAATGGATATGTTACCACTGATCTGCGAGGGTGACGGAAATAAAACAACACAGGTAAACTACGGTCAAATGTACCGTATATCTGTGCTAAAACTATACAGGAACATGACAAGCAGGGGGATTCAACTATTATAAAGTGGACACATTCCAATTCTAGTTCATATGGTCCAAGATACATCCTGTTAAAAGGGAGTTTTTCCTTTCCACCGTCTCCTTTGTGTTTGCTCGGGATGGGAGACTGTGATGAAGTGAAGATTCACCTAGGCCTGTCACGATAGCAAATTTTGCTGGCCGATTAATTGTCTCAGAAATTATTGCGATAAACGATAATATTGTTTGAAATTTGATAATAATACTGTCAAATTTAAGAAGAAATGTTTATTAATTTGTTTTGAGCGTAGTGCGTTTTTCAACCACCGGATGACAGTAAGAGTTTGAATTGAAGGATGGATAGTGAGGGAGCGAGCAACGCGTCTCTTGAAGAAAAATGGGAGGGAGGCCCCTTGACCTGACACGGGCTGTCTCTCGTTCCTGTTTTTCAGTTCTCAAAATGGCGCACGCTCTGTGTGGTTTGAACTCTTTAGCACATAAAGCTTTTAATTAAAAAAAATATATAAAAAAAATCAGTAAACTTCTCCGCTTCTTTTTGCAGAAAAAAACTTTACACAAATTTCAACCGTGAATTTTGGAGCTTCGACAAGACGGAGGTATTTTCCCTCCGGAGGTCGGCCTGTTAGCTTAGCTCGTAGCTTAGCTTCTCAGCTTAGCTGCTTTTAACGATCCAAAAACATGATTTTGGGCTGGTTAAAACAGATAAAAGAGAAAATAGAAAGGGAGGGGTCAGTGAAGAGCACCGGAGTTGAGCCTTTTGTTCATCCAGTGTCTTCAACAGAAAGAGAGAGACCAAAAACGATAAAACCGATCAATGAAAATGAGGTTGATAATTTTCATCCAGCATGCGATTAATTGATTTATTGTTTATCGTGACAGGCCTAGATTCAACACAATCTGCTGCTTCCTTGAATAGAAGTTTACTAATTGGCTTTTTTTAATGCATGCGAGTGTTTTTGGACAGTGCACTGAGACGACTTCTGTTTGGACACTATAGGAATAAACTGAATTGAAAAGTAAGATTCACTGATGGGTTCATGAGCTGGCCTCAGTCTGTGGAACGGGAGTGTCCAGTCTTGTGCAGATCTGTTCACAGATCAGCGGTGGGTCATGCAGCCCAGTCGCTGACAAACAAACTGGGTCTTCCCGTCTACGTTATGTTTTCACCACGACTGTAGAGGAAGGACCATGTGCTAACTGGGTTTCTTAACAATTGTGCAAGATCGTGCACAACCTCCAAGATCAGCCGCAACAACTTTTAGAGTAGGAGGCCGGAGTCATTTCCAACATCAACACACGGATGTCCTGCTGGTGAAAACGTTGCTGAACGCAGTCTGTCTAAACACCGACCACTGATGAATAAGGTCTTGTCAGTATCACACGCATGAAAAGAGTTCTGAAGTCATGACCAGCAGCAGCTGTCAATCAGTCCAGTACAGCGAGATAACATGTTCAAGAATCTAATAGAGAATTATTCCACACCGAGTTCATCTGCATTTCATCTTGCAGCAGTGAATGTAGCGAACTGTCCCTCCTGAAGGTTTGCAGTTCACTTTGTTTGCTTTAATTACAGACATCAACATCATCATACTGCGCCTGAATGAGACGGTTATTTCTGTCGTTTTAACGTTATGATCGTTCACCTTCCTGAGGGGAAAAACACAAAAATACTGCTCGGCCTTTTAGAGCCATCTCAGCCTGAAATTAAAAAAAATAATAAAATCTAATTTAAATAACTTTTTACTTTATTTCAACTCTTTAAGGGTCTTTTGTTTAAAATAAAATACTCCACATTTCGTTTTAAAAATTCACAACATATTAATTTTACGGCAATTATAAATAAATAAATAACATTTCCACCCATTTTTGGACTATGTTTGATTTATTTACATATTCGCCCTAAAACTTGAGTAACCTGACATGTTGGTGTCATTCTGTTCTGCACAACCTCCCATGTGACTAATAATGGTTTTTATTAAAATATATATATACATTATTAAGTATTTTTTACTTCTGACGGACTTTATCAATATATTAAAAAATAATAAAACTCACAAAAACAAAATCTGTAGGAAAATTACAGATTTTTTACAGTGAAAACCACAAACATTCAGAATGAATTGTTTTTACAACTAAGAATGCAAAAGTCTCCAGCGATCCTGGACACTTGGCCGAGACGCCAGCATGTAAATCAGGAGAC